TACTGAATTCACACACCTACAGTATTTGAGTGACAATGCAATACCCATCTCTGACAAAAGTAAATAAAAAAGGGGGATATAAATGATCTTTTTGTCTCTGTCTCTCTCTCTCTCTCTCTCTCTCTCTCTCTCTCTCTCTCTCTCTCTCTCTGTTTCAGTGGATTTAATCCAGGGACATGACCAGGGACATATTTCTCTACCACTTTTTGAGACCAATTCTCAGTAAATTGCTGGAACCTGAAATGAAATCCTCCTGCCTCGGTGCCCCCTGTAGTTGTGGTAACAGGCATGTGTCTCCACACCTGGCTTCTTCAAATCATTTTTCTAATGCTTTCAAAGTATTATTTTCTTTTAGAACTCTTCTTGTCTCTACTGATTGCTTTCTACGTTCTGCCTCTATTGTGAAAGTGAACACAGAGCCATGTTAAGTAGAATATTTTTATCTGTGCAATCACATATAGGTAACAATGAAGACAAAGTTCTGGCTTATCCTTATTTTCTTGACCAGGCACATTCACTGCCGCAAAGCAGATTTGGGCACATGTATGTCCTCAGGTATAACATGCTCCAGATAAAGCATACATTTGACTACTAGAATTTTCTCCCTGCTCTGCTAGAATTGACTGATAAAGAAGACAGCTAATGCTATACATGAGCGTTCATGCCACAGAAGTGAATTAAGGACTTGCACATGCACTATGTAAATATTTTATATTAATTTTATTGAGAAAGAAATAGCATTGAGACAGGTTAGTAGGACAGTTACAGTAAATAATTCATTTCATATTGTTGTCTCCATAGTAGTTATTCATAGTACAAAATGCAGATATGATTTCTAGTCTAAACACTACTAGTACAAATCTTTCTTCTCATTGAAGTATGAGAAATTAGCTGTGTATCTATCCTATTTTGTATATGCAGATTTTTTTTTCCTAAAAAATGGTCCTTCATTTATATTCCCCCTTTTTTTTTGTTTACTTTTGTCACAGATGGGTATTTCCATTGCCATTCAAATATTGTAGGTGTGTGAATTCAGCAAAGTAATCCAATATAAGCAACAGCATCTAGATTTAGGGAAGTGAATCACAGACAGCTTTACAATAGCAGTAGCTTTGTATTCTACCTCAAAGATGAGTAGTGAAATAAATTCTTACAATTAGCAGAAGCAAATAAAATGGCATATTCTTAAGGTATAACATTTGAAGGACACAAAATAAGGTTCAATGACATTAAAACACACAAAAACAAGCTGTACCATTGACTAAAATTGGCACAGAACCCCTATGTAAAAGGCTTCTGTGAACTCTAGTTACCACCCTGAAAATACTTGAAGATTTAACACATAAATTTTCATTGTGGAGACCCAGTTTTAGCCCTGGTATGGTGAGTGTGTGGGAGAGCTTCCTGCTATGCTGTGCTGGCGGGAGGAGTCCCAGCCCAGGCTCAGCGTGGGCCAGACCCTCTCCCAACCAGTTGGGACGCCCCCCACTACTCCCCAGCACCTCACCCACCCTGCCCGCCAATTAGGAATTCCTGCCACGTTACGGGAACCCCCAGATCCAGTCCTAGCCCAGTTACAGTGAGTGTGTGGGAGAGCTTCCTGCTACTCTGCGCCGGTGGGACCAGTCCCAGCCCAGGCGCAGCGTGGGTTGGACCCTCTACCAACCCCTTGAACGCCGCCAACACTCCGCAACATCTCCCCCGCCCCGCCCACAGAGTAGGAGATTCCACCGCATTCTGGGAACCCACAGGCCCAGTCCTAGCCCAGACACAGTGAGTATGAGGGAGAGCTTCCTCTCCCCCCTACTCCAACTTGAACCTTCCAGCACAGCTCAGGCCTGGCATACATGACCGGGGTGTAACCTGCAGCTGCAATCCCTGAAGAGAGTGTAGAGGATAGATCCACCCAGCTAGTCCAGGAGCAGAACTTCTTGCCACAGAGGCACAACAGGTTCACCCTCAAGGGCAGCAGTGGGAAGGAGGTGAGCACAGCAGACAGACCCAAGCCAGACACAGCTGGATAAGTCCAAACTTTGTAGAGCTCCACCTGAATTCAGTACGTGGGAAGTTTATAACTACAACAAAGATTTACAACAAGGGTCAGAAGACAGTGCTACACAAAATGACAAAAAGGAACAAAATGCAACCTCAGAACCCAAGCCCACCCATAACAAGTGTAAAGGACACTAACAGAGAACAAATTGGAAATCACACAGCTGAAAGCAATGAATCAACAGCTTCTGAAATAAAGAAACACTGGCAGAAAGGTATACAGGACCTCAGATTGGAAATAAAAAAAGAAATCCCTGAATTAATAACATCTGCACTAAAGAATCAAATGCAGAAACATATAGAGGAAACCCAGTGCACACCCAGAACAACTGCGGAGGACACTAGCTTGGCTCAAATGCATGAACTAATAACGTCGATAGTAAATAAGCAACAGCAGAAAGATATAAAGGAAATCAGAGAGCAATTCTTTTGTGAAATAAAAAAAAAGAACTCTCAGAACTCACAGCAGATGAAGTAAAGAAGCAACTACAGAAACATAGAGAGGAAATCCAATCTGAAAAAAAACACTGCAGTAAAAGAATTTATAACTGCTTCTAAAGAAGATATTGATAGAAAAAATAGAGGAGATTAGAAAAATGACAGATTCCTTGAATGAGCAATACAGGAAAGAAATAGATCACATGAAGCAGAGTCAAAGAGATATAGAGGAAATTAAACTCTCAATCACAAGCTTGCAAAACCATTTAAGTGAATGTGAAGACAGTTTCAGATCTTGAAGATGCTGGTGCAGCTACTGAAAAGGATGTCTTAAAAACAACGAGGACGCAGGAAAGAATAATCCATCACCTGCAAGATGATGCAAAGATGAACAATGTGAGATTAATAGGCATCAATGAGAAAGAAGGAGTCAATACAAATGACATTAACAAAATATGGGCAGAAGTAATAGCAGAAAACTTCCCAAATATGAGGAAACAATCTGACATTCAGGTAACTGAAGCATACAGAAAGCCAAGAAACCTCAACACAAGGAAAAACACATCGAGATATATACTATTCAAGATCCCAGAAACTCAGCACAAGAATAATCTACTGAAAGCCACTAGAGAAAAGAAGCAGATCACATTCAAAGGAAAACCTCTCAGAATTAAGGCTGACTACGCTTCACAAAACATGCAGGCAAGAAGAGCATGGAGTAGAGTACTTCAGGTCCTCTATGAAAACAAATTCCAGCCCAGACTACTATACCCTGCAAAACTCTCTTTCAAGTTCGATGGAGAAGTGAAATATTTCCATGATAAATAACAGCTAAAGAATTTCGTGATGACAAAGCCAACTTTACACAGGCTACTGAAAGATGTTCTAGGGAGGGACCAAAATGATCACAACTCCACGAATGAGAACAGAAGCAACCAAATGAATAGGGTAAGCAATTAAACACAGGAGAAAAAGGAGTAAACGATAACAGGTAAATAACATGGCAACCATAGGTCAATACATCTCAAATGTAACCATCAATGTAAGTGGACTCAATTTACCAATTAAGAGAAATAGACTGTCACAGTGGATTAGGAAAGAAAATCCAACAATATGCTGTATACAAGAAACACTTTTAACTCATAAATACATTCATAGGCTGAAAGTCAAAGGATGGAAGACAATATTACATGCCCCAGGACCTCAGAAAAAAGCAGGGGTAGCAATCCTATTCTCAGACAGTCTCAACTTCAAACCAACAATGATCAAG